AGTGCATGAGCACCAGTCATCTTAGTAACAACCTTCCTATACCGAATCCTAATATGTGGGACAAGTGACAACGCCTTGTGACTAGCATTGTGTTCATTATTTCGATTTGTGATTTTTGAAGTATTACTTTGTGTCACCTAAAACTGCTACAGCATAACCCAGAGATATCTGCGATTCAGGTAAGGCATTTAATATTTTAATATACAATTTTATATTAATTGCGGATATTACATTATATGAGCATTTTTCGCACAAAATTATATTGTACCGTGTATTTGATCAAATTATCGAATACACGATCTCGAAAGCCCTCCGAACACCTGGAGGAAGATGTTAGCGTAATTTTTATATTTGCATCTGATATTATTCTCCAGAATTTATAAGTGTAGATGAGAATCACACAGGTTCTTAACATCCGATTTTAATATAACTATCGACAAGAGTCGTTTTTAATTTTTATATTTATCTTACTTTTACGTTATTACAATACTGATGCATTCATCACGTAAAACTATTTTTTTATGATTTTTGAGTGATTGTAGAGTAAAATTATAAAAGATAATATTTTTGAGTGTTTGACATATCGCTTTTAAAAAAACATAAAAAATGATTTTGCTTGAATGCATTTTATATTTTTATCTATATTATGGTAGCACGTGGGCCAGAGACAAAAAACAAACAGTACGTTTGATATCCTCTTAAGGAAATAAAAATATTATAAATATTATAATAGCACATTTATACGTTTGTAAGTCCCATAAAATCAAACACCAAATACAATACCCTATTATTTCTTGCTGCTGATGATGACTGGTATATAATATCAATAAAAAACCATTGATCATTCTTTATTATCGTTTCTTATTTTCTACGCGTAAAATGTGTGAGGAGGTCTTTATAAAAATTTGCAACGTGGTCAATCAGTTCTCAAAAAAAAAAATTCAGACTCAGCATTTTCTGCACATTATATTGCTACCCCTGCTCAGTAATTATATAGGAATATAATATGTTTGTATGGAATAAATAAATATAAGCAGCGAGGTCGGTTAGGTATGGTAGACGAGTTGGGGGCTTGGGTAGTGTAAAAAAAAGGAGTTCATAAAAAATACTAATTAGGTATACCTATATAATATAGGTAGGTACATTGAATAGTTGCTCTTGGTCCGTACTCATCAGTATACAATGTTATATACCATCATATTATTATATTATTATATTGTTATCGCCCCCTACACGTCACATCTTTGGTCTTAAGAAGACCATTTTTTTTTTGTTAATGTTCTCGTATCGTGTTATTATTTTACGGACGTCCTGCTGACCGTCGCCGCCGCATCGGTTGGCGGTGAAATTTCATTGGGTGTCCGTGAGGCCGTCGCGACAACAGTTGATTAGACACCGGGCGGCAACGGGCAGAACGGCAGATGTTCCGGCACGTGAACAGCTTGCGTTTTGTCTGCCGAGCCGGTACGGCTGCCTTCGGCCCGGACGATGTTCACACCGGCCTCGGCGGCGTCGAAGGTACCATAATAATATTATAATATTTTATAAACCGCGGGTGGCTGGTCCCGATAAATCAATATCACTACTTGCACAATAATATATTATATTAAGTATAGGTGCATCAATATAATATTATGACGTTTATCGTTTACCTATCGTTTATCGTCTCGATGATACATAATAATATTGTGATATTTTTTACCTATTTGATACTATAATTTTTATAATATTATTATGATGTACAACTGCGGCGTTCGATCATCGTAGGTAACGCTCAAAACAGTCGTTAAAATTAAATCCGGTTTGGTTCGCGAGTTTAATGCGCCAAGAACGGTCGGAGGGATGGTTGGATGGGTAACAGGGGAGCCCCCGAATACAATGGCAAAATGTCTTATTATTGTCGTACGCTCGTCGTACCCACAATATTGTAAGTATATAATATTATAATATCATATTATATATTTATAGGTGGGTACCTCCTATACAGCTGCTGTGCTTAGAACGTGCCCTTCGAGACGGATTGCTAACGACGACGACGGCGGCGGTGGCGGTAGGTATCTAAATAAATTATTAAACTACAAGAAGGACGATGATAACTCATACACGCGCGCGCTCCGAGCGTTTCATCTGTCCTTTTCAGCCCCTACCGAATGACGACCCTTCACCGCCGGCGCCCGTCTTAACTAACCGGAGGGAAGAAGGTTTATAATATTATTATTATGCGTGCGTACGTGCATTGTATTATTGTATTGTATGAGCGCCGAAAAACTGAGACACATCTGCAGCTGCCCTCGTTACAGACTTGTTGTACACCACGAGGATTGCTGCAGCGGACGACGATGCGCGCGCGTATACCTACCTAGAGTTGCAGCTAGCAGCAGCAGTCTCGGCGGTGCAATAGCCAGACTACTGTGCATACTGCACTAATAAATTATTATTAAATATAAATTACGACGCATACTTATACGGTTAGGCAGTGGCGTAGTTAGGATTTCTATTAGGGGAGGGCTAATAAAAAAAATATAATTTTCATAACTTTTATACGATTATACGTATAACTTATTATTTAACATTTTTAACAACTTTTTATTTATATTCATTGAAATTACTTAGGTACATCTTTAAGACTTTATGAGGTACTTATACCATGATATTATATTATTGCTTGCCCAAGTCCAACCTAAAACTTTCATTTCTAGCTAGGAAATTTTTTATAGAATAGCGGTGAATATTTTCTCTTATACATTGTCATAGTCATCAAAAATATATTGCAAAAATACGGCCGATGCACGGGGGCATGGCTACTTTGCACCCTCCTCCCCACCACCCTAATGGCTACGCCACTGAATTTAGGTACAACATCGCCACGTGATCGACATGGGCGCAACTGGGATATTTTAGCAGTTACAGCCGCTGGAGTTCTAGAAGATCAAAGTTCAAAATAAATCATAGGACCCTCACCCCCTTCACCGACGTAATTATAATGTTGTAACCACTGGGAGTCTTGTGGAATCAAAGTTAAAAATAAGCCTTAGTCAAGGCCCCTCAGCCCCATCGCCATTAAAAATAGTTCTCAAAAATAAAATTTGAACAATAAAACTATTATTTATTTCTACAGTAAACACATTAATTGATATTTGAATAATTGCACACACTAATCTTATTCGGTAATTTCGTGTTTATTGGCTATACTATACCTGTGGATCAGCGGTTCCCAACATTTTTAGTTGTGCGGGCCACAACTTTTGTAAAAAAATCTTTGAGGCCCACTAATAGCACACCTATATACGTATGCATATAATATACATAATATATATACATAAGTTATTCGAAATAAAAGAATTAAAAATAGTATGTAGTAACTCACAGCAGACACAACGATGCATAAACACTCAATCACTGTCGCGGAATAACTAGTCAAACAATTTACGAAAACGAAAGACCGATTAAGTTTATCGCAAAATAAAATACGATAAAAATGACAAACAGGAACCAATAATAATTATATATTATATAAATATTATTATAACCAGAAATATCAATACATACAACAAAAATATAAAATAATATTATTTTATGTATAATATTAATATACAATATAATTTAATATTATATGGTTCACGGTCTAGTACCGCGCTACAAGTGGGCCGCGGCCCATGGGTTGGGAACCGCTGCTCTAGATCACTAGAAGAATCACTCTAGAATCTATTTTGTGATATGGTAGACCTCACTTATATTGTATTTCTCCCCATACAACTTAGAAGAAAAAGAACAAACGGGCAACGAAATAAAATATTGTCGTGCGTCTCATTGTATTACTGGAAAAATTGGAATATTACAACCATTTACATTCAAAATATTAATAAATATTATATTGTATTAATATAATTTAGGTATACTATGATATTATAATATAGTTATTGATTATTATACTCATTGAACCCGTCATGACATGACAAGGTATTTTTTCACAAGGACTTGGTTTAAATTCCAAGAGGGGGCTAATGCAGAAATAATATAATAATATTAGGTAGATATATTAAAACACTGTAAAAGTGTACTGCCGGTGCCGCGACGGGCGTGTTGCGAAAACCAGTTTGCGTCGGATTCGCGCGAATATCCGTCGCGATCTCCTTGGCACCGTCCGTCCACCCGTCCACCCGCCACCTAACCGGCCAGCCGCGGATAGGTACGCGGCGACATAGAAAACAGATTAGAGACAGCACCGCCCAAAACGGTTGTCGACGACGTCAGTCATAACACAGAACAATAATCCGTTCGACCGTCGACGGCGTGCCGCTTTAGCTGCTAGCGAAACCGAAAAACGAACGTTTCAACGACGGGGCATCGATATAAAATATTGTAATACAATATCGGGAGAACCGTCTCCCGCGCAGCGTACAAACCAATCGCAGGGTACCTATATTATAATACAACAACACGTCGTCTGCTATCGTTGCCGTGCGTGTTAAAAAACATAATACTTTTTTATTTTATTTTCCGGTTTCGAAACGTGGTGGCCGCGGCACACACCGGATACGGTTGGTCACACCGCATTTTACGTTGTGATTCGCGTGCGTGTGCGTGCGACGTAAATATTTGTTGTGTTTACATGTTATTACTTATTATTATTTTTCGTGTCGAAACCGAATAATTGCTATGGACCGTCCGCCGTGTACGGTATTTCGCCGTCCGTAAACATCGTTTAATATTGTTATTTTATTTAATCTTTTAGGTGTACACATGTAGAATTTTATTTTTATTTTGAAATTTCGTTATTTTTTTTTTATGATTATTACTGAACTTAACTTTGCCGCCGCCGCTGACCGTTGCCGACCGTCACCAGGAGGAGGACGTCCGTCAACGTCGCCGTCACCGCCGCCGTCGTCGCCGTTTACCGTTTGCCGCGTCCGTCGTCGTCATCGTCGTCGCGCGTGTCCGTCGACCCGCGTAACTTTCGCCGTTTCCCGGTTACGTAGTGTGCACGAAAATCTTCACCAATGGGGGACCGGGTGTACGCGGCCGAAAAGCTCATGAAGAAGCGTGTCAGAAAGGTGAGTCTACCTCGTCCTCCTCCTACGCGGGAGACACGTCTCGTCCTCGCGGCCTACCTAACCCCAACTTTTGATAACGGCTTGCGCGCCCTTTTTTTTCCCGGTTTACTTTTTTTTGAACTTCTATGCCAGACAGGTCGATCGGGGCCTGCCACTATTCTCCCATCACTTTCGTATCCAACGAACTTGTGGTAACCCACTTTTGTGTCATCGGGTCGTGTCTGTACCCGGGTGATAACCCGGTTCTGGGTATACCTTTTAAACGACACTTGTTTCGAGCCCTCGCCGACTTGTCTAGGATCATTTCGTTGTAAAAGTTAACTGGGTCAGGTTCTAAAATTTCCGGAAGTTTTCATGTCTACGGACTTTAATGGATGGTGCCTTTGTAATGTTTTTCGAATAGTAGTCGTGTTCAAAATTCAAACAATCATTTCTTTTAACTCTACATTACCCATATTTCAGACAGATAAAACAGGAATAATATACCTAGCTGATCCCATACATTTTAGAAAGTAAATCCTGATAACTTGGGCAGTGAATACTTGTCCAATATTTTGAATTTTATCTCTGTCAGAATATTTCTAGTCATAATTCTGAAAATCTTAAAGATAATTTAGTGACCACCTATCTATTTTAAGTGTTAATCTTCATAAATTATGACCCAATATCAAGCGTTGTAAATTGGATACATATTTAAACCAAATAATTTGTTGATTTTCAATCAGCTACAGTGGTTTGATTCTGAGTTTGAGTGTAGTCTCAGTGCTGCAACCAGGTAGAGTGGGCCTATCGGGCCAGTAGCTATGAATTATTCCAAGCTGCTGTAAAGCTTATAAATACAGTCTCATATTATATTGTTGATTTTGAAAGATCCCAAAATGATTCAGTTAATTGTGCCACATAGACTGTAGGTTTTTACATTTCTATATATCTTTATACATATTTTTTTTAAGGGTATGCTAGAAATTTTGTATTTCAGATAGGTAAATGGAGGGAAAATGTTGGTTGGGCCCTACCTACTATTTATGAATTCTAATCATTTTCTTCTTTGCGTTTTTAATTTCTGTGATAAATCTTTAAAATATATCATATTGACTTATCTACCTATACCTACTCCATGATTTTTATCATGAACTTAATATGCAGGTAGGTAGTTAATACTTATTTTAAAAGCTATCCATTGTTTGACAATGTAGCATGTGTTTAGAATTTTTTTTCTCGATTATAATTTAATTTATATTTATAGTCTATACTGTCAACGACTGTCAAGTATAAAATCTGAATAAGAAAAATATTTAACTTCAAGATTTAATAATGTAATTTTATACTACCAATTTTAATGTATAATAATTTATAACAATACTACATATTACAACCAATAACAAAGTTTCTGATAGTTACCTATACCACTCGGTATACTGTGTCACTGTAGGCAACCTGTTAGACAGGCAGTCTGCTATGTATTTTTCTAAATAAAAGTTGTTCTCTCTGGTATATAAAAGACTTGATCATAATTTTATTTAAGGTCTTTCACACCAAACTAACGTATATTGGGTATACCTAGGTAATATGTGAATAGTAGATTTTATATTTTTATTAACATATTTTTCAAACAAAACTAATATACAGTACATTCATACAGAGTGATTATATACGTTTTATTCAAAATGTTCCAAATTGTATATTTTATCAGTTTTATGAACTTTTTTTCCCCAGTGACTTTCCTCACAAACTTTTTTCTGAATGCATTTTTCCGTTCCCAATTTTTATGACTGATTTTTGAATTTAAATTTTAAACCAAATGAAATGTATAATATTTAAGTTCTTAATTGAAACTGTGTTAATGTTGTTATTATTTAAGGCATGTATGTATGTATAGGTATAGGTATGTATTATTTATTAGTATTAATAATTTGTGTTTATTTTTAGGGCAGAGTTGAATATCATGTAAAATGGAAAGGATGGACACCTAAGTATGTTTCATAAATATAAAATTATTTAATCTTGATATTAACATTCATTTTAAATATATTTAGGCATAATACTTGGGAACCCGAAGAAAACATTATTGACACCAGGCTTATTGATATTTTTGAACAAAGGTATTGATTTATTTTTTATTTACATGAAAATACTTTATATACCTTAAAAGTTAAAATGCATTAAACACTTCATATACCTGTGTAACATTTGTATATTTTTTGTAGTCAAACCCGTACAGATAATACTTCTCATAAACGAGGTCCTAAAAGAAAAACACAAACTGTAAGTTATCAAAAACAAATTAGGATTTTTGTTAGGTATAATGCATATGTATTTGATTTGTACACTTGACACATTCCAGGCACATACTGAAACACCAACTACAGAACCTACCCGGAGTGACTATGAAGATGAAACTGCCGATGGTGATGTACCAGATTATAACAGCCAAGACGAAGCTGAAGTTCTTCCAGAGCTTACTAATGGGGCACCTTTATTACCCAGACATGACGATGACACCGAAGAAGATAAAACAAGTAATTCTCAAATTTTCTTATAATGTTTATACAATATACCTTCATATTTTTAGAATTTTTAGATAATCCTTTGATTTAGAGTTTAGTTCATAATTAATGAATCATGTTATAAAAAGGTATACAACTTAAAATATTTTTCTTCAAATCTAAATTTACCTTTTGTTCACTGTAGACTGGAGCGCAAACATTAAAAATGTTTCAGATGTACTCAAATAAAATACCTAGAATTTTTATTAAATAAGATAATATATCAAAAGTTATAAATTACTTTTTGTTTGTCCAAAAATAAATTTTCTAATTTTTTTTATGTTTATACAGTTGATGATGATTCATTGGCAGAAATGCCGAAGTTAAATGCAGCTGTAAAGGTTGAAGAAAAAGATGAAAAAATAAGTGAAGAAAAAAAGACACCAGTCATAGAAGTCAATGATACACGAGAAGAAGAAAAGTTAGCTCCGGTGGTGAAACCCGCACCTTCACTTGTAGTTCCATCTACGCCGAAGCAGTCTTCCAAATCCCCTCCACCTCTACCTAAACTTCAAAAAGTTAAACGCAAAGCAGAGGTTTTGTCTAAAGAATCTGGTAAAGTTGGTGTTACTATAACTACCAGTCCTCCTGTGACAGATTCGAAAGTGCCCAAATTACAATCTCCTCCCAATATTCAAAACACCAATAGTTTGCCTCCAGTAGTACCTACACAAGATAGTGGAAGAACGCCTAAAAGAAAAACATCAGAACATGCGGTTCCCGCAGTTTTGACAAATCAAGTTTCTCCAGCTCTAGAAAATCAACATTTAACACTGACGGCTATACTTCAAAGTACTCCAGCAAGTGTAAAGTCAAGAGATACTTTAGCTGCAGCAGCTCCCATCAGTTCTCGAACATCAGGAGAACCAGCTAGGCCTCAGGAGGATGCTGCAACAGCTGTAACTCAAGGAGCTGGAGGTCAACATCAGGTACTAGATACAGCATCTGTTGCTGAAACTCCTACTCAGCGTTTACAGTACAAGACAATACTGGCAAACCCTGGACCAGAGTATTGGCTTGCGCGCAATCCAGTTGTAGATAATGTTTTTATTACAGATGTGACGGTTAATTTGAACACTGTGACAATAAGAGAATGTAAAACAGAAAAAGGATTTTTTAAATCTAGTGTTGAAACTAGAATTTAATGAAATTTATGTTGAGGTTTTATTTAAATAATAATCCTATGGTGTTAGATATAATAATATGGTAGGAGCAATATTTTTCTTTATGGCTAGTAAATATATAGTTATAACAGTTATTAGTAAAATATAAATATATTTTTAAAACTTTATATATTATGTATATATACATACAGGGTGATTGATGAAGCTGTGTTTCAAGCACTGAATAATATATTATACATATTGAAACAATGAGAAGTTATTTGTTTGGATGGTTTTTTAAGCTGTGTTATCATCTCATAATATGAGAAAATCTATAATTTTGTAATTTAAGTGACATTCAAATATTTTGTATTTTGCTCACTCAATGTTGCGACATGAAGTTTATTGCAAATGTTTTGTCATGTTAACATTTTTATACTTCTGAAATTAAATGCTTTTTTTGCCATTAATTGTTCTTGACAGAATTTATAGGTCTTCCACTTGGACAACCAGAATCTATTTCAGTGATTTATTCAAGCCTATACATCACCCTGTATAGTAAATATAGAAAATTCTTCAAATTGATTTTTGTGAGGTACATAGCTAAACAGATTTACATTTAAAGTTTTTTCCCTAATAGTTTTAATGTCTTTCAATCAGATCTTGATTACAATATTTTTACCTTAATAATGTTTATTTTATATTTAAATGATCGATGATCGGTCCTATGTGCTTAAAAATAAGTACAAACGATGCCTAAAATTCTTCCCTAATATATTCTAAGAGTCAATTTGAAATATAACAGTATTTATAGATTACCTAATAATAATTAATATTATAATGAACCACTTGATTTTTAATTATGGATTATAAGTTTATTTAATATTGTGTATGTCATATTTTTTAAGTTTTAATTGTATTATCGTGTATTAACTCAACATATGTGATTAACATATATTGATTTCCTCTATTAGTGAGTTTACAAAAACAATTTTATCCAACCCAAATGATCTCTAGTTTATCACAAATTTTGTTTATATACATACTATAATATACATGCTGATTGCAAAATAAAACTATATATTCCAAGCTTAATTTAAAGTGTTACAGTTATAACAATTGTTGAAAATCCAAGTTAAATAAATATTATAGTCTAAATTCTTCTTCTAAAATGGTATAGGGGAATCAAATTAATTTCAATAATCTGAAATCTAATTAAAAAAAAAAAAAAAAAAACGATAAAATGAATTTCTTGTACATTATATTTTCTTCTAGTTTAATACTATTTATGATTATTTATAAGTGTTATTTGTTGTTTAAACTATGTTTCCCTTCATTGCTTTTCCTCTTTACACTTATTAATTTATTATTTTACCTAACATTTTTTTAACATTATTATTTGTATTATTATCATCATAATATTATGATTATGATTGCACGTTAATTACACCATAATTTTTAGCACCCGATATTCAAAAAATTTCAAAGTAGTTTTTTATTTTAGGATTGTGCCGTACTATTACTTTGTTAATTTTTTTTTTTATTGTTTCATGGGAGATACGGTACACTTCCTTAACAGATTAATAGTAAATAAGTTCTAACATTCAACAGTTAATTTATAATTATTGTGTTTATTTGATTATTTTAGTTAAGTTTTAAATAACAATTTACGTAACTGTATCACTGGTTAATTTACGTAGATATTATTAAAAATTAAATATAATATGCTTCGTTTCGTTTAAGTTTTCACATGGAAAAAAAATATTGTGTCCAACTATCTTTATGATCTTATGTAAGACACATTGTGGTTTATCTTAAACCTTAATTTTTATTTGTTCAATATCTTAACTATTATTGACTGTATACAAAATTCCCCAAAAACCAAAACTAATGCTCCTTAATGCCTTTATCTATTTTATACCCATCTCTAGTCATGGCCGGTCTTTTCTAATTGAAATGAATGTATTGTTTTTTTTTTTCTATGAAAATGTAACGTTTTATTGTTATTAATTATTATTTGTGAATTTTGATGCAAAAGTATTAATTACAGGACACGATATTATAAGTGGCATATTTTTGTGTTGCAATATTTACATTGTAGGAGTTTTACTATAGTTATATGTGCCTTTGTAATAAATGTCGAGGATGTTTAAATAATTTTTTGTTTTTATTTTTTTTAACTTTGGTCATTGGTTTTCATGAATAAATGGAATAAATATTGAATGTCAATGTTCTGTGACGATGCTCCAGAGAAGTTTTCAATTAATTTTCCATGATTTTGTTGAAAACAAACCAAAACAAATTTTTCCACTCAATATTTATATTCAACAGTATTATCCAATTATCAAAATGTTCTCAGTTGTATTCAATTTATAAAAAAATGGTGTATTGGTTAAAAATATTTTTGTATTTTAATAGAACACAATATGTTTTTTATGAGTTTGTTGGTTTTATTATGTATGGACATTAAAACTAGTATGCTAAAGGTGAGATCATTTTATGAAAAAGGTTTCTCAACATTTGACATAACTACATGTTCATATATGTTAGCCAGTTAAACCAAATATTAAATGACCCAAGACTTGTTTGAGTTCCAACTTCCAAGTTAGGTACTAACTTATCCTGAACAGAATGGTAAGGATTGTGACTTAACACCACTAATTAAGATATGTGTGGTATGTCTTAAGTTGCTCATAATATTTAGTAACAGTCTATAAGTAAAGTCAAATGTACTTAACTACAAAATAGTTTTATTCAATGCCAGATAAATTACAGGTGCAACATTGCTCTGTCGCTTTGGAATAGTAGGCGCCCGATATTATTTTATTATGGATATAAAATTATCATAAATTGAATATTTTATATTATACTGTTGAGCTTTATTATGTATATCATAGTCCATAAGCCACAAATAAGACTAATATTTTTGGAGTTGTGCGAATTTTACAGAAAGATACAAAATTGTACAGAGTCGTAAAAAATTTCCAGACCCTTAACAGTGTATAACATATATTGTATATAATGTACACTGTATAATTTAAAATGTATATTTATGTGCTATTTATCAATATGAGTGAAACAGTAACTGATTAAGAAAATAAAACTATTACAATTATTTTATCATAATTTTTTTGTCCAGTAAATTATATTTATTTATAACAATTTAACTGCTTACTTGTTTTATAAGTTATAACTTATAACGTATTATAAACAAGAAAACAGCTTTCATATTATAAGGCATTAGGCCGCCGTGCATCCTGTCGTAGATAGAGGAAAGTGTCGTTACCCTTACTTATTTCTTCAATTTATAAAATAATTGTATTATGATTATTGTTACTCAAATAAGTAATAAGTAATAACTATATTGTATCTGAGACCAGTTGTAGGTATACAACATTAATCAACATCAATAAGCTAAAGATTATTTCATAATATGTTATACCTAGGGGTTAGGAACATAATACCGAAATACCTAGTTCTTATACTCCTCTATTAACAGTATAGTTATAGGTTGTACAACAATTTTGTATTTATTGATAATTTTGACTTCAAAATAATCAATTTTTAATAGAAGAAGACTTGTTTTTTGAGGGTTGCAAAAGTCCCCTTTGCTTCTCCCTCTTTGTTGTGCCAATAATGTTTGTACAAAAGAAACATTTTTAATTGGTTTATTTTTTTCTGTTGTAAAGAAATTATTGTTAAAGTCATAATAGCTTAGTATCTTGTTATTATGCAGATTACTAGGCCTCTGGTTCTTGAATGGTATAGGCCTTGACATTACTCAGTGCCATGATGTGATACAAACATTTTTTTTTTTTCTTAAGTTATTTATGAATTTAATGTTCCTATTTATTTGGATTAAGGTTAGGGTAATTTTGTGAAAAAATGTTGAGAGCCACTGAACTAGATAATATGTTAGAACTAGTATATACTATATAGTATAAAATGGGGATTATTTGGAGAGCTAAAGATTTATTATAAATTATAATTAATAATATATTTGTTTTTTAATAAAAATAAGTAAAATATGCTTAAGTGGTATTTTTTTTAAAAGGCCCCAAAATGCTCTATTGCCTTGGGACCCCAGAATTAAAGATCCAGCACTGATTTCACTCCTAAGATAAAAAATACATTAAATAGGTATTAGTAAAATTGATGAGAGGGAAGAAACATAAGACTTTTTGAAAACTTTTGGCTAAATTGATAGACGCTTTGACCCTGTGATGAAAATTGAGGAAATACCTACACAAATAGATAGAGTATGAAGTTGAGGAAGTCAGATAATATTTGTGGTGGGAGTAGTTCAAGGTCTGTGTACAGGTAGAAATTGCATATTTCTATAAGTTTTGTTGTGACCAATTCAGGAAGGAGAATATTAGGTACCTATTATTACTACTATTGTACTAATACTATTGACTAGTATTGGGTATTGTTTATTATCTAATGTGAATAACCTAATGCAATGTCAAAATATTGTAAATTGATCTAATATTGTATATCTAACATCTTGGATTGAATAGCAATTTTTTTATTATTGATCAGAATAACATCAGCAATTGAGGCTATACGTCTATGGAATATGGATAATGGATATTATTTTAAAAGCAATATTGTAAATATTAACTACCTATTAATAATTATGGAATCTATTTAATTATATCTGAGAAAAAATAATATTTTACTTGTTTATAATTATTTTTAGATCAATATAAAGTACAATTACATTTAAAAATCAAAGGTATATCTATATAAAAATAAGAGAGTAGCTTAAGCATACGGAAGTAATTTATTAATTAAATAATAACCTTCCATGATCTGTCTGCAATAAACAATATTCAATATTAACCGTCAATTAAAAACTTTAGATAAATACTATTAAGTAGTTATAGGTACTGTTAATTTTTCTTATCCATTATTTAGTATTTACTTAAATTTATATAAGTAAAAAAAATATAATATTAAATGTAGATATAGTCGATATAGATATTAGATATTTAGATAATAATATAGATACCTAATAGAGTAATAGACATGTACTAATC